ATCTTTGGTACACATTTAAAGGAATGTGTAGAGGGAAATTTATAGCACTAAATGCCCACAAGAGAAAACTGGAAAGATCTAAAATTGACACTCTAATATCACAGTTAAAAGAACTAGAGAAGCAAGAGCAAACACATTCAAAAGCTAGCAGAAGGCAAGAAATAACTAAGATCAGAGCTGAACTGAAGGGGATAGAGACACAAAAAACCCTCCAAAAAAATCAATGAATCCAGGAGCTGGTGTTTTGAAAAGATCTACAAAATTGATAGACCGCTAGCAAGACTAATAAAGAAGAAAAGAGAGAAGAATCAAATAGACGCAATAAAAAATGATAAAGGGGATATCACCACCGACCCCACAGCAATACAAACTACCATCAGAGATTACTATAAATACCTCTACGCAAATAAACTAGAAAACCTAGGAGAAATGGATAATTTCCTGGACACTTACACTGTCCCAAGACTAAACCAGGAAGAAGTTGAATCCCTGAATAGACCAATAGCAGGCTCTGAAATTGAGGCAATAATTAATAGCCTATCAACCAAAAAAAGTCCAGGACCAGATGGATTCATAGCCGAATTTTACCAGAGGTATAAGGAGGAGCTGGTACCATTCCTTCTGAAACTATTCCAATCAATAGAAAAAGAGGGAATCCTCCCGAACTCATTTTATGAGGCCAACATCATCCTGATACCAAAGCCTGGCAGAGACACAAGAAACAAAAGAGAATTTTAGACCAATATCCCTGATGAACATCAATGCAAAAATCCTCAATAAAATACTGGCAAACCGAATCCAGCAGCACATCAAAAGCTTATCCACCATGATCAAGTGGGCTTCATCCCTGGGATGCAAGGCTGGTTCAACATATGCAAATCAATAAACGTAATCCAGCATATAAACAGAACCAAAGACAAAAACCACATGATTATCTCAATACATGCAGAAAAGGCCTTTGACAAAATTCAACAGCCCTTCATGCTAAAAAAGTTCAATAAATTCGGTATTGATGGAACGTATCTCAAAATAATAAGAGCTATTTAGGACAAACCCATAGCCAATGTCATACTGAATGGGCAAAAACTGGAAGCATTCCCTTTGAAAACTGGCACAAGACAGGGATGCCCTCTCTCACCACTCCTGTTCAACATAGTGTTGGAAGTTCTGGCTAGGGCAATCAGGCAAGAGAAAGAAATAAAGGGTATTCAATTAGGAAAAGAAGAAGTCAAATTGTCCCTGTTTGCAGATGACATGATTGCATATTTAGAAAACCCCATCGTCTCAGCCCAAAATCTCCTTAAGCTGATAAGCAACTTCAGCAAAGTCTGAGGATACAAAATCAATGTGCAAAAATCACAAGCATTCTTATACACCAGTAACAGACAAACAGAGAGCCAAATCATGAATGAACTCCCATTCACAATAGCTTCAAAGAGAATAAAATACCTAGGAATCCAACTTACAAGGGATGTAAAGGACCTCTTCAAGGAGAACCACAAACCACTGCTCAGTGAAATAAAAGAGGACATAAACAAATGGAAGAACATACCATGCTCATAGATAGGAAGAATCAATATTGTGAAAATGGCCATACTACCCAAGGTAATTTATAGAGTCAATGCCATCCCCATCAAGCTACCAATGACTTTCTTCACAGAATTGGAAAAAACTGCTTTAAAGTTCATATGGAACCAAAAAAGAGCTCGCATTGCCAAGACAATCCTAAGTCAAAAGAACAAATCTGGAGGCATCATGCTACCTGACTTCAAACTATACTACAAGGCTACAGTAACCAAAGCAGCATGGTACTGGTACCAAAACAGAGATATAGACCAAGGGAACAGAACAGAGCCCTCAGAAATAATACCACACATCTACAGCCATCTGATCTTTGATAAACCTGAGAAAAACAAGAAATGGGTAAAGGATTCCCTATTTAATAAATGGTGCTGGGAAAATTGGCTAGCCCTAAGTAGAAAGCTGAAACTGAATCCTTTCCTTACTCCTTATACGAAAATTAATTCAAGATGGATTGGAGACTTAAATGTTAGACCTAAAACCATAAAAACCCTAGAAGAAAACCTAGGTAATACCATTCAGGACATAGGCAGGGGCAAGAACTTCATGTCTAAAACACCAAAAGCAACAGCAACAAAAGCCAAAATTGACAAATGGGATCTAATTAAACTAAAGAGCTTCTGCACAGCAAAAGAACCTACTATCAGAGTGAACAGGCAACCTACAGAATGGGAGAAAATTTTTGCACATCTACTCATCTGACAAAGGGCTAATATCTACAACCTACAAAGAACTCAAACAAATTTACAAAAAACAAAAACAACCCCATCAAAAAGTGGGCAAAGGATATGAACAGACATTTCTCAAAAGAAGACATTCATACAGGGAACAGACACATGAAAAAATGCTTATCATCACTGGCCATCAGAGAAATGCAAATGAAAACTACAATGAGATAGCATCTCACACCAGTTAGAATGGCAATCATTAAAAAGTCAGGAAACAACAGGTGCCAGGGAGGATGTAGAGAAATAAGAACACTTTTACACTGTTGGTGGGATTGTAAACTAGTTCAACCATTGTGGAAAACAGTATGATGATTCCTCAAGGATCCAGAACTGGAAATACCATATGACCCAGCCATCCCATTACTGGGGATATACCCCAACGATTATAAATCATGCTGCTATAAAAATACATGCACACATATTTTTATTGTGGCACTATTCACAATAGCAAAGACTTGGAATCAACCCAAATGTTCATCAGTGACAGATTGGATCAAGCTTTAAGTCCTTTAATAATCTTCCTAGGCCTGCATCCAAGCAGGCTTCCCCCCAATCCCCCAAACCCTCGATCCCATTGCATTTATTTGAGTTTCTATTCTTTCCTCTTTAGTCCTCTGAACACTACTGAATTGATAGATTCACTTTTTTTCTCCCCTCCAAATTTGTACTGCAAAGAGGAATTGATTGGTTTGGGTAGATCAGTTACGTTGGAAAGTGTGTACTTAGATTATTATTACTTTCTGTAATAATTGATAAAGGCTAAATACATGACAGAGTGGACTGAAAATTGAACCACATTCATTCATATTTAACCCTCACATTTATTACAAAAAACACACCTTATTTTTTGGTCTGTTTTCTAGATTGGCTTTAACATAAGCTCACAGTTTCTTCAATTCAGTACTCAATGTATTGAGTGTGTACATTGGGCAATTGCATGGCCCAGGTCATTGCTAAATTGTAGTCAATGGAAAGCTGAGGAGGTGGCATCAGGCAGCCTCAGCAGTGGGTCACGCAGCTGTCTGTCAGGGTTTTGAGTGTTGGTTTGGTGAAGTGGATGGTGCCTGAGCACTCCACTCAGAATAAACCATTGGTTCCTGATACTATGTCTAATCATTGCCACCTGATTGATCTTAATCAAGCAAACTATTTCAACTCCGAGGCTCAGTTTTCTTAGTTGTTAAATGGGGAAGCTCCCACATAGGATTATTTGGAATGTGGCACATGGTAAGTGTTAACTTTTCTCCCCTGTTCTTGTGGAGCTTTTCCTACCTGCCATCAAATCCTGGTTAGGTCCCGTCTGGAGGAGAGAAGTGATTACTTTGTAAAGAAAGCCTCTTTGGGGCTGTTGTGTTTGAGTGTGATGTTGAATACCCATTTCAGCATGAGGGGACTAGTGAGGCATGAGAGGATTGCAGAGCAGGCTTCTAGCTTCTCTAAAATTGGCTATCTAACCTTTCTGTTAATATCTAATGTTATGAATAGTCAGCAGTCTCCCTGTTTCTTTGCTATGCCTGTGTTCAAATTACTTGCAATTATAGTCTTGATTTGAGGAATCTCTGTGGGTATTTTCTGCCCCTAAGTTAACATTAAAGAAATGGTCTTCCTGGCTCTGCCAGTATTTATGGCTTCTCAGGACCTCTTTCTTCATCTGTAAAAGGAGGGGGCTGGGTTAACTATTAATATTTGTAATTCCTTTAAGTGTTAAAATTTTACTATTCTCAGGAGTTGGGTGTTCTGTGGTTCATTAAGTAATTTATATCTTTGAAACATTGCCTTTGTGGTTATCTTTTCTCCTTACAATGTTCATCAAAAGAGATTTTGTTGGTGTTTTTCTTTCATCACCTCCATGTGAAGGGTAGGATTCTGCTGAAAAATAGTCATAGGCAGGTTTAGAAGCACGAGTGGCTCTGTGTCTCCTCTGCACACATTTCAACAAAACATTCAACTCATTCCCAATGTCTCTGCAGTCCCTGCTTTGGTCACTTTAAAGAGAAAAGAGTGTTACTTGCTCATTGAACATGTCTTTAACAGTCCCTTTAGGGTAGATTGAAGGACAGCCCATTTCCAGATTCTGATTTTAACAGAGACCAGAATTCTGTATCTCAAACTAATAACACTGGTGTTTCTCGCGCAGGTGGCCTTCAAAGCACACGCTTCGAGATAGCCTGGTTTAAAGTGTGCCCATTTGCCTGTTTGAAAGATTGGCAGGCAAATTTAAAGTTTATTTATGAACACTCTTCCTCTGAGAATGGCAAGCCCACTTCTTTCTTGTCCAGAATATGGATGAATTTATGATTTTTATGGAAACCAGGTGATTTTCTGCCTGGTGGGCTTGTCTGTCAAGTCAGACAAAACTCAGTGCTTTTTTCAGCATCGCTTGCCAGAGGCTATGAAGAGGATTGAAACATATGAAATCCAATGTCCAACACCTCCTCAGAATTTGAAAGTAAATGATGTAACCCTTTTATGTTGGCTCCTATGTTGTGGATTTAGCGTTTTAGGCTAAAAACAGATGAGGTTGGATTGTAAATAAACATTTTGTGTTGGGTAAATTAGTTAATATTTTAAAAGTGTCTCTTCTTTGGGCATGAAGATTTGCAGAAAAACATTCCAGAAGAAAAAAATAGTTTATTTTAGTATGTTGATTTATTGTACTAATCCTTGTTCAATATAATCATTGCTACTCAGGGTGAAAAGTTCGGACCCTTTGCTGGAGAGAAGAGAATGCCTGAAGACTTGGATGAAAATATGGATTACAGGTTAATGTGGGAGGTGAGGATATGACTGTTATTTTAATGTTAAAAATGTGTTTCTTTTGTACCATTTAATGCATTTTTAAGGCTACGTTAATTGATATTGATTCCAGTTAAGTATTTAAGTATTGAAATGTTTTAGTTTTTTTGTTTTTTTGAGATGGAGATTTGCTCTTGTTGCCCAGGCTGGAGTGCAATGGTGCGATCTTGGCTCACTGCAACCTCTGCCCCTGAGGTTCAAGCGATTCTCCTGCCTCAGTCTCCTGAGTAGCTGGGATTACAGGCACATGCAAACACGTCTGGCTAATTTTGTATTTTTAGTCGAGACAGGGTTTTGCCACATTGGCCAGGCTGGTCTTGAACTTCTGACCTCAGGTGATCTACCTGCCTTGGCCTCCCAAAGTGCTGTGATTACAGGCGTGAGCCACTGTGCCCAGCTGAAATGTTTTAGTTTTTAAAGAAAGTTTAGCATTTTTTTCTTTTCTTTTTTTTTTTAAGAGAAAGTGGACTGTTGAAATATCTTACTAGACATTTGTTTTAGAGATCTGAAGTTCCTCATCGAAAAATAAGTGTGGTGTTTGAATTTCAAAATAAGTGTGCCCTGAATTTAGAACTTGACTTCTGTAAATAAGATTATACTTAATTTTTTTTTTATTTAGTAGTTGAAGTTCTAATTGTATAGAAACAAATCTCAGTTTCATGTTGTAATAAAGGCCCGCCTTAAAATGTACCTTACCTTTAAAAATACATAGTTAAGGAGCTGTAACACTAGAGACAGTCTTTTGCAATCTAAAGTTTCGCTTAGGCAGAGATCTGTATATACCAGTATATATCTGCATGTTATGAGAATTTTCATCTTAGTTTATGTCAATTATATTCGTTGCTGTTCTTTTCTAGGTATTAGAAAAAGGACCCAAGGTATCAAAATAAGAAACCAGCAGTGTAGACTGTTGAAATAAAAATTTGGAAAATGCAGTCCTAGGAATTATATATTCATGTGTTACTTAATGACAGGGATTCATTCTAAGAAATGCATCATCAGGTGAACATCGTAGAACGTATTTGTACAAGCCTAGATGGTATAGCCTACTGTATTCCTAAGCTATATGGTATAGCCCATTGCTCCTGGACTATAAGCCTATACAGCATGTTACTGTACTGAATAATGGAGGCAGTTGGAAGACAGTGGCAAGCATTTATGGATCCAACATATCTAAGCAAGCCAGGCACAGTGGCTTGTGCCTAATTCCAGCTACTCAGGAGGCTAAGGCAGGAGGATTGCTTGAGGCCAGGGGTTGGAGCCCAGCCTGAGTGACATAGCGACCGAATCTCTAAAAAAAATATAAAAAATTATCTGGGCCTTTCGGTACATGCCTGTAGTCCCAGCTACTCAGGAGGTTGAGGTGGGAGGATTGCCTGAGCCTAGGAGTTCAAGGCTGCAATGAACTATGATCATGTCATTACACTCCAGTCTAGGCAACAGAAGGAGACCCCTTCTCTAACAAATGAAATTGAAAAAGATCTAAATACAGAAAAAGTACAATAAAAATAATGCATTATAATCATATGAGACCACCATTGTATATACAGTCCACTGTTGACCGAAACATTGCATTGTGGCACGAGGCTATTTGATAGTTTCCTTGAGGAGGGTAAGACCTGAGATACATGTAGGAGGTAGAGATTACACAGTAAGAAAAGGTTGGAAAACTAGAGTAAGGAACTACACATAGAGAGTCTCTCTGTGCTTGTATCAGTAAGGGTCTTCAGAGAAATAGAACCAAGGAGATTGTGTATATGTTTATTTATTATAAGGTATTATCTTACGTTGTTGTGGTAGTAGCAAGTCTGAAATCTGTAGGGCAGGTCCTCAGGCTGGAACTTCAGGCAGAAAGATGATGCTGCGGTCTTGAGGCAGAATTTCTTCTCCAGGATACCTTCGTTTTTGCTCTTAAGGGGTGTGACTAAATGGATGAGGGCCACATACATTATGGAGCGTGTGATCTCCTTTACTTACAGTAAACTGATTGTAGGTGTTAACTGTATCTACAAAATACCTTTACTCCTATATCAGCGTTTGATTAAATCAAAATACCTTTACTCCTATATCAGTGTTTGATTGTTAGATGTTAACCGCATCTACAAAATACCTTTACTCCTATATCAGCATTTGATTAAATAATTGGGTACTATAGCCTATCCAAGTTGACACATAAAACTATCCGTGTGTTATCTGTAAGCAAAATGCATTTTTAAGCATCACCCGTATTGTTGAAACTGCTGGGGGTGGGGAGTGGAGGTGACTGAGAAAGGATTCTAAAAGGTTTCTTCAGTGCAAGTGATAGAAAATGGAAATTAATAATATAGTCCTCACTATAATTTAAGTGGGAAATGTTACTGATATTGCCTGAATTTAGCCTGCTGTTTTGTTTACTGTTATGAACTTAAACATCTTAATGGCTTTCACTATTTTTCTATAAGGTCTTAATTTTCTCAGCAGTTAATTCTTTTACTATGAAGGTTTTTCAGAAACCAAACATTTACGTGACCAGAAAAACCTGACAACTTAGTAAGTCATAAAATGATAAAAATAATACATTTTTAACTGTTTTTTTTTCTTTTTTAAAAATTTTATTTGTATACATTTAAGGGGTACAATTCAATTTTTAACGTGTTATTAATGGTTTTCGATACTTGTTATCTGAAAATTTTAGTGTGATGATCACATTAATGTTTTGTGTAGCTATGAGGTATCATTAAACAGATAATTTTTTATTTTAAAAGGAAGACTTCCATGTAAAACGGAATCATTTTTGTACTATTATATAGTTGATAGTTCCGCAGTACATCATCTAGTTTTGCGTTATCTATTCCTGTGTTCTTTAATGTCTTTGCATTATTATCTTGTTTTCACACTAGTTGTCTCCAGCTCTCTCACTCTGCTACCCAAGGAGCTATTGATTTTATACATTTTTATGCTCAGGTAATGGTACACTCACGTGATTGCCATTCTCTATTTCATTTTACTTCACCCTTTATGTCTTTGTTTTGAACAAGTAATATTTGTACTTGTTATACAATTCAGAAGGTAGAAAAGGGTATTGATGAAAAGTCTCTGTTCCCTTCCAGCCTGGTTTTTTCACGTGAGACCTTTTGATACATTTAATCCCTTAGTTCATATACCTTCCCCCTCCCCTTCTGGTTCTTTTTCCTCTTGGTCTCATCTTCATTTTGGATTGTCAGCCGTTGTATTAGTCTGTTCTCATACTGCTAATAAAGACATATCCAAGACTGAGCAATTTATAAAGGAAAGAGTTGGTTTTTTTGTTTTGTTTTGTTTTTTCTTTTTTTTGGAGAAGGAGTCTCCCTCTGTCACCCAGGCTGGAGTGCAGTGGTGCAATCTTGGCTCACTGCAACCTCCATCTCCTGGGTTCAAGAGGTTCTCCTGCCTCAGCTTCCCAAGTAGCTGGGATTGCAGGTGCATGCCACCACACCCAGCTAGTTTTTGTATTTTTAGTAGAGACAGGGTTCCACCATGTTGGCCAGGCTGGTCTTGAATTCCAGACCTGAAGTGATCTGCTGGCCTTGGCCTCCCAAAGTTCTAGGATTTCAGGTGTGAGTCACCATGCCCAGCCAGGAAAGAGGTTTAATGGTCTTACAGTTCCATATGGCTGGGACGGCCTCACAATCATGGTGGAAGGCAAAGGAGAAGCAGAGGCATGTTTTACGTGGTGGTAGTCAAGAGAGTTTGTGCAGGAGACTCCCGTTTATAAAACCATCACATCTCATAAGACTTATTCCCTACCACAATAACAGTATTGGGCAAACTGCCCCAATGATTTTATTATCTCCACCTGGCCCTGCCATTTACATGTGGGGATTATTACAATTCATGGTGAGATTTGGGTGAGGACACAGAGGAAAACCATATCAGCTGTTCCCTGCTCTGCCCAGTTGTGCAGCTGGGCAGGGGAAGGGACAGATTCTGTGGTAGGTCTTCTAGAGGGAACATTTAAAGAACAACACCTTTAGAATTATGGAGTTATTGCTTGCTATCTCTAATCTTATCTCTTATTATGTTGAGTGAGCAAGCTGCTTCCAAACCCTGAGATATACTATTGAAAGTCCTTTTTTATAATTATTATTATTATTATTTTAGCTTTGGAGGTGCTAGGATTCAGAAAGAGCAAGATACAGGAGAATAACTGGTTCTATTACTGGTCCTATGTCTGCCCCTTGTGGAACTGTTTGAGTCTTTTCAAAGGGAGATAATGAGCCTTCCCTCCTCTGGTGAGTAAATTTAAATTGGTTATGGGAGTCATTTCTGCTAGGCCCCTTAGCTACGTTGCTAACCACAATGAAGCTCTCAAATGAGTAATCCTTTTCAAGCCAATAGTTACATATGTTGTGGTTATGGAACATGAACTGGAACCTGGTGGTAATGTCTGGAAAATGATGTCATGTGAGAGACCATGTGGCCTAACTCTTTCTCAGTTTATACCTGTATTCTGCCTAATATGCTAATGGTTCTGGTGGACAAGACCAAGAGCCCCTGGGGAGCCATTTCATATCAAAGAACTTGGAAGTACCAGTCAGGATTGAGCCTCCTGGTAGGTGTGAGCCTCTGTGAGCTTGGGACAGTATATGAAGGGACCTTAGGATCATGGGGAGCACTGATAGTGTCTGCTGCCACCTCTCCCTCTTTATCCAAAGGTGTAGCTTAGAGCTTACTGATGCCCACTGCTTCAAAGCGCTCACTAATACCTCAGTTACTTTCTGTATTGGCCATCAGGATTTGAGCTTGGTCTCTGAATAGACTGAGTATTGTGGGTCTTTAATCTTTCTTGATAAACTCTGATTTTTACTTTTCTTTTAAAATTAAGTGCTTAAGCAGAAGAACTCTGGATTTCTCGGGCCTCAGGCATATTACAAAGCTTGAGGATAGGAACCAGTGTTTGACTGTAAATGCTTCCGTTTGACAATTTGGTGGAATGTACCCAGTTTTCTGCATTGTATTCC